GGCTGGTGCTCTGAGAAAGCGGAACTTGAGGGGGCTGTGTGACTACGTTCCGAATAGGGCTTCTTACTGGTTCCACAAAGCCCTCCAAAACAAATCTGGTCTACTGTGTAGGGTATTCCTATGATGGACTGCTGTAACCAGTTCAAGAAAAGCAGCAATTTGCGAATGTGCTGAAATGATAAATAGTACACAGAGATGACAAGGGAAGGGAACAATCAAAAATTTAGCATCGACATGTAATGCCCACATCAAGAGGAACTGACAAAAGCCAGGAGAAAGAAAACGGGCGCGGTTCATGTTGCGAGTGAATGTTATTTTCAACAAAGGGAGCCTGTCGCAATTCTTAAAAAGAAGGCATCACCTCTATATCCGCCATACTTTCAGGACAAGCCTTTGCGGAAGTTGCGGGACATGCCAGCTGGAAAAGATGCAAACTACAAGTGTCCTAGGTCCTAACCGGCGCGAGATACATTCAATGACCATTGTCATAGGAAAGCATACCAACATGTGAATAAAGCACTCCGAACAGACTATCAAAATCACTTGTTAAGTCTCTGTTCGAAATAGTCGTCCCCTCTTTCACTAGACTAATGCGGGTGAATATACTCCATTGCTGCATGCGCTGTACCCATTCACCGTCAGTATTTCCATCCGTTATCAAGATAGTACGGCGGATATAGAAGCGCTGAATAGGTACAGCCGCGTGCAGCAGTAAAGTGGATCCAGCCGCATCAGTTCAGCGAAGGAGGCGACGACTATTCCGAACCGCGAATTAGCAACTGATTTTGAAAACATGTTAGGAACTCAGCATTCAACTTTGTAGAAACCATAAGGATGCCGCATTAGTCTTTCCCTGGAATTCCTCTAGTCCACGACCATTACTGGATGGTCCTAGTATCCTGATATGGTACTGCAAAGGGAAAGGTTTGTATGGGGTCTCTGAACCAAGCTCGGACAGTTGAAGGGCTCATAATGTAGAGCGCCCCAATGAAAAAGATTCAAACAGGCACGCGCGCGAAATTTTTTCAGAGAGGTTACCTCGGCTCCGTTCAGCTAGCATCTTGTTCGCCTACTAAAGTTACCGTACTGTCGCCGCCGTCAGGTGAGCCGACTGGTAAAAGTTGGGTGCTAACGTACTTGGGGGGGGGGGGAACCACGCGGCGACAATAACGATTTTTCAGTAGGGCGCAAGTGGCTCACAAAAAAATTTAGGCGTGAGGTTGAATGCATTGCGATAGTCGGCTGCGGACTCACACCATAATCGACGCGCTCTACCTGGAAAATAAACCCAATTCTCCAAGAACAGGCCTGATCTTAATCAACTTATTTTCTACGTGAGCAGATTTGGCTGAGAATTGGGTTCTAGAGGTAATTCGACCTCCTAAACACGAGACCACACCCACTTGGCCTGACCTAGGGTATTTCGGCGCTGGCGCTGAAATACCCTAGGTCACTAACTCCGCTGAAAACTTGTATACGAAGACCTTTACCATCTTGGTTGCATATATCACATTCATTTTGGCGCTGGCGCTGATGGAAGACGCTGCGATTATCTGCGTTCTGGTATGGCTGGCCTGACCTAAGAAAAACACTCTTTCTCTCAGCCTTAGGAGAGTGTTAAATGGCGCTGGAGTCAATGTCATATTCGTGGTCAGGGCATCAAGGAACCTCATTGTGCACATTTTTTATCAATTTTAAAATAGATAAAAAAGGGCGTGGCGCCAAGTCGGCGCCAAATGGCGTCAGGGATGAAAACTAATTCGGTTCGCGATCAGGACATCAAATAACCATGCCATGCAAATTTACATCGAATTCGGTGGGAAAGGTGTCGGCACTGGCGCCAATTCGGCGCCGGCGCCCAAAACGAGTGATTAGGACGCTGAACTATCTCTGTGGGCAAGGTTTCAACAAAAGGAAATTTTTTGACTTTTTGGGGTAGTAGAAGTAGTTGAATAGTGCCATTTTATGGTTTTCGCGTTTCCAGCAACGTAGTTGAGCCTGGTTTCAACTTCACCGCATTCGAACTTCTGGTTACAAGGACGTTGGTGCTCTGATTACCAGTGGAATAAGATTAGACTATAGCATAGAAAAAAACCATGGAAACCTTACTTTCTGAACAGAACGAAATTTGTCATTCTTCCTCTCAGCTTAATGAGAATTTCAGTTTTTCTGACGGAAAAAGGTCTGCTTTTTCCCAACAGTAGTCTAGTTCGACTTCCTGCAGTGCATTATACCGTGAAATAGTTCACGCTTCTGTTACAGCAGCGCAAGGAATATGTCGCCAGATCGGCTACGACTGCTTTCTTTCAGGTAATGCGCGTCGAATATGGTGCGATTCCGTGGTCGACTATTGCAATGCATTGAACATCACGCCTAAATCCTTTGTGAGCCACTTGCGCCCTACTGAATAATCGTTATTGTCCACGGGGCGCGCGGCGAGCGATGACTCATCTGCTCTTCCGCTTCTTGCTGGGCGAGATAATGTTCAAAACAGCCCACAGATGGTTCCCGGCACAGTGCACAGCATCGTTGTGTGAAACACATAGGGGGATCGTACTTTTCTGCTGGGGAGGGGGTCGTATTTGGGGTAAGACAAATTTGTTTTGATAGTTGATTTTTTCTTGCGGAAAAAGGGGGTCATATTAATTCGTATTAATTTTTTGTGTTATATGCACCCTGTACGACTTTTTCGCTGACTATATACTCATCGCTCGTCAGTCGGCGAAAGAGCCGGTCGAGTTGAGGGGGGGGGTCGTACCAACGGGGAAAAAAGGGGGGGTCGTGGCGCGGACCCCATTCGGAGGGGGGGGGGGTCGTACTCACACCGACATTTCGCCTATCCCTATGCTGTACCCTGTCCCGGCATACTTGAAACGCGAATCTTACAGCTATTTAGAATAAAAGAAATAAGCTTCACCGGGAACTTTTTGAGAAGTTATACAGGGGGAAACATATGGACTTCGTGTAGCAAGCTGAAGTGAACTGGTGAGGTGAAATTGTGATTTTATCGTGAGAAAACCGCTCAAGATTCAATTTCTGCGATTTGAAAACGAACGGGTTCACCTAGGCCGGAATTCATTCCCTTGTGGTTTAAGCTTCCCGTCTACTATTGTTTCTTCGCACTTTTCAGCATTAACTGTTTACCTTTTGAATATGGCACCTTAGGGCGGTGTTATGTTCATGTCCTAAACATGAAGCTGCCTCTATTTTGCCGAGTAGGGAGCAGAAGAACAGATGAGTCATCGCTCGCTGCGCGCCGCATGGTCCCCCCACCTCCCCACCCCCAGACATTAGGTTGTCGGGAAAGTTCCTACAGCTTTGTGCACACCTATTTTTTTGTACATTCACTGCTGATTAAAACTCATTCTGCCTTGCTTCTCAGTAGCACATCTGTAGAGAATTTCTTGTGCTATCTTCATGGTATAATTGTCGTTTCAGCATCGCTTCATAGACCCCTTTTCCCAAGGCTTTTTGAAGCATGTCAAAAGTGCAACTTCGGACGATTTTTTCTTCGACTATAAATTGGGGCAATCAGCAATTCGAAACAGCTCAACAAATTAACCAGGTGTGGGGCCCAATAGTGCTAGAGAAAACACTGCTCTCTCACAAAAATTTCGCTCTGGAGATTCAGCCTTGAAGATGAACCTCATAGCGGTCGACCCAAAGCAATATCTGACGATGGATTTTAGGGGGATTTTGGGAGGCTGACCTATCCAAACAGTTCGAGAGATAGCAGAAGAGCTAGGCTTTGGCAAATCCACTGTTGCAGATGGTCTGGAACGCATAGGGAAGGTGAAGAAACTCGACAGTTGGGTGCCCACTATCGGAGTAACCGGCAGGAATCGGCACGTCTCGAGGTTCCTTCCGCATTGCTTTTGCGCAGCAGAAACGACCTGTTTTTAGGCCGAATTATCACCTGTGTATGAAAAATGGGTCATGTATGATAACATGAGACGTTCCGGATAGTGGTTGGTTTTCGACTAACCCACCAGGTAATTTAAAGCCCGAATCCTCACGAAAAGAATTATGGTCACAGTGTGGTGGTCATCGGCTGGTCTGATCCACTATAACTTTTTGTCACCAGGCGCAAACCTTCAGGGCAGAGTCCTAATGTGAAGAAATCTACGAAATGTACCGAAAATTGCGCTGAGCTGCAGTCAGCATTTGTCAACAGAAAGGACCCGATTCTTTGCATGACACGCCCGCCCACATGTTTCACTAATCACTATCCATAAATTGAACGAATTGGAGGGTTGAAGTTCTACATCACCCATCATATTCTCCAGACTTTTCACCCAACGCGACTATCACCTTTTCAAACATTTTCAGCACTCCTTGTGGAAAACACTTCATCAGTCAGGACACGGCAAAAAAACCTTAGTGGATTTCGTGGATTTTCGACCACCAGTTTTTTACTTTGATGGGATTTCTCGACTGCTGTCACATGTGTGTCAAAAGTGTGCTGCATTCGAATGATGCCTATTTCGATTAAATCCGATGAGTATCAAAAAAGTTACGATGGTTTAAAGTGAAACACCAAAACGCTGAAAGCTTTCCGGACAACTTAATACATTAGCACCAAAAGTTTTCTGCCGCTCGAGGTTTTTAGGTTTGAAGTTCGGAAGGAATTGGGATTTGAAGTATAAGTAACAGTACTCATAAAGCAGTTCTACATAAACTTCAAGGCCTAAAAACATCGTGCGGCAGAGCAAATTTTACATTATTGAGTAGGTTCGTTATTAGTTTCTCTTGAAAGCAAGAGAGAGAGCGGAAGGGGTGCCTCCAAATTTCATATTTCATTTCTAGCGCTGGGCGCTCTTTATTTATAGCGTCGAATTCGAAATGAGATTTACGCTTGGCTGAACATCCGCGGTGCAGGAAAGCAGCCCGACACTTCAAGTTGTTGCTCATGAGCTCTTCCATGTTCTGTTCTCTTACCTTTGTGTTTATCTTTAACTAAACGTCGTTTTAGTGTTTGGAGCTGATCTTCTCGGACAAGAATGGCAGTTTCGCTTTCACGTCGAGGTTTGCTCACTGTAACATATTCGTTTGGGCATTTTCTATAGGTCATACCGCAGAGAGACAATATTGGGAGGCTCCCTTGACGCAATGACGATATTCCAGCTGAATATAATATTAGTTTGAGCAAAGATACTGAATTTCAGCGGTTACCATCGATGTATGCATAGTAGTATCTTTGGGGTTTTTGGCTCATATAGATGTTTCTTAGCACTGGATTACGCAAGTGATGCAAGCAGTGGTTCCCAAGGTAAATCGAGCTATTTTTGGAGACGAAGACGGTACGGTGCCGTTTTCCTCATTGGGGGATGTGGGTTTTTTGTAAGTTATATCCAAAGGTACGAACGACACGATGCGCATAGAACTACATCAGTTCTATTTCGAGTGGTCACGCAGCAGCGGCTGGCTACGTTATTACGGGCAGGGTGCTTCCTGTTACACCGAAGTAGTCTGCGAGGCTCAAGAGCACGATCGCGTTGTAAACGCATCAAAGTGTTTATCGGATACTTATGTTAATCTAGGCCAGTGGTGACAATAGTGACTGAGGTCGTTTCAAACTCAAATGACTTCCCAGCCCCCTTGTCGATTTGGACGCAGATTACATAGTAGACGGTTTCTGCTTGGTCGAAAGCATAGCAAATGACAGCAAGCACTGAGTCTGGCTTTCCTACACGGCTTTTGGTCCAGCACTAGGCGCATTTTCAGACTGCGTTTTTACTTCGCGAAGCATGGTTGCAATCTAGCATCAAAAAATTTTCTCTGTCACGCGGGAGACATGAAAAATCGGTTTTTCGAAAATATGCTAAGCGCCGTAACGTTGTGTGCTTTTTCTTGACATTGATCGTGACTGTGTGGCGAAATTTCTTCTTTTCAGCCCTTGAACAGTTCAAAGGCCGTAATCGACAGTATGGGAACGCTGTCTGTCCTGAATGCAAACAGTCTTCGTCAATGCAGCAAGATTAGAGAGACATTTAGCAGTGCATCAGGTTGATTTGAGCTAGACGTTTGTTTTCCCTTTCTGAGTGAATGGAATGTGGAGTTTGCCTCTTTTAGCATGTGCTGATTTGACAGCAACTATCACGACCCTAAAATCTGTCCCTGAAGTTTTTGTCTGTAGGGCTGTTATTCTATGCGCGTTCACGAATGTAATGTCAGAGTCCGTCTGACATCCATTGACTACGTTTAGGCGATTTTCCGAGTATTAATGCTTGAATAACATTCAGTTCCTCTTAATTAATGTGTTTGTGACTACCCCATTAATATTGTGTTTAAGGTCTTCGGGCGTTCCTTTGTCCTCTGTGTGGTAAACCTACAAGTACGAGTACAATCTTTTTTTTCACTGGCGGAAAACCTGTCAGTACCTCAACGATTTAATAGGAGTCGAGCAGAGAAAGGTTTGATCGTTTCTGTTTTCTATGCACCATATCGTGGTTCATTGTAAAGCAGGCTCCACAGTCAGCGACAACAGCTTCAGAGGCTCGAGCCCGCCCAGTCCCGCCGCTAATCACTGAACCAAGTGCTAGTTGAGCAAGTCTCACCAGATAAACACTAAATCATTCAGAAAGCGAACGAATGAGTGATCAGAAATTACCTTTTTTGGGGTACAACTAAGATGCACCCGCTTAGGGCACACCTTGGCCTCATCAGGGAGGTCGCTTAGGACGTGGAGCGCTTTTTGAAAACGCTTTTTCATGATGTGTTGTCAAGTGTATGGAGTACCAAACTGGGGTTGCTTTTCCTGAACGCCTCTGGGAATAACAAAAAGTAAAAAAGAAGTCCATGGAAAACGGCTGTTTTTGAGCCTCAATGGCTCTAAATCACTTTGCAACTTTGACCAGTTGCGGAAGTGCCCGGGGTCCCTATAAAGGCTACATAGGAATCCGAGAAGGAAAATAGTTGCAAAGGGATCTTACTCGCGTGATCGGCTCGCACGTGACCAAGCACGTGAGCGGACTCTGACCGGCTTGTCGGAATGGTTTCTTCAACGATCGAAGTGGTGTTCAGCTACAACGATCGGATGGCCTAGTGGATAGTGTGGAGGATTCTCAGTCGGACAGTGAGGGTGAGGTTTCATGGTTCGACTCCCCTCCTATCGCGAGTTTTTGCATTTTATGTTCCGCTGCTTCTTGCTTTCATATATGTCTGGTTATGAATTTCACTCGGATAATCTACCATTTGTTAGGAACATTCTAAATATACTACAACATTAGTCGGTGGTGGTCTTCTTTTGTGATTGATAAAATGAAACTCGTCGCAGTCGTTTATTGCATTGACGACGTTTGGGGCTTTAAGCCCTTTCTTCAGGTCTACAATCATCACATTCAAAGCTAACACCCAACATATCTAACTTCACAAACAGGCAAGGAATTCAAAGGGGAAAACAATCAACAATTAATGACCGGATTCCTGTGGGAGGAGGGTCGTCGGGCGGGTAGGAGATCCGGGAATATGCTGCAAGGTGGTCTCTGATGTTGTGACAAACAGTAACATACGCAACAATGACTCACGTCCCAGCTGTCCTTCTCCTTTAGAAATGGCTAGCTTGGTGAAGCAGTGGTAAGATGGCAATGAGTTAATACACAGCTATATGCTATGTGATCACGTATCACCGCTTGTGTCACATCATTGTGCACCAATCATTTCCATTGTCCTTCTTAGCTCCTCCTGCTGTGATCGGTGGATTCCTCCGGATTTTCAGCGCTTCTTTTATTTTCCTCTCCACCGGGTCACTTATGTTCCTGTTTATCACGCGCACCTTGCAGTTCGCGGTGCACGTTCATTGTGTGGCGCAAGGAACGATGCTCGAGAAAGGGTTATCCGCGATAGCTGGCCTCCGAGGAGGAATCCACCGATCAGCAGCAGGGAGGAGCTATGAAAGGCCAATGGAAATGATTGCTGCACAATGATGTAACACAGCGGTGATACGTGACACATCGGCATTATAGCAGTGTATCAACTCATGCCATCTTACCACTGCTTCACCAAGCTAAGCTGTGCCATTTTTAAAGGAAAGGACAGCTGGGACGATGAGTCAGTTGTCGCGTATTACTGTTTGTCCACAACATCAGAGACCATCTTGCAGCATATTTCCCGCAATCTCCCGTCCTGACCGACCCTCCCTCCCACAGGAATCCGGTCCAGTAATTGTTGATTGTTTTCCCCCTTTGTAATCCTTGCCTGTTGGTGTGTGGTCGTTTAGCTCTGAATGTGATGATTGTAGACTGAAGAAGGGCTTTAAAGCCCGAAACGTCGTCAATGCAATAAACGACTGCGACGAGTTTCATTTTACCAATCACAAAGAAGACAAGACAATGAAGCTCAGGAATCCTCTTATATTACATGAGTATCGGTGGTATTCAACAATTTCGATTTCACATTACCATTAGGCGGAACTTTTCTGAAAGTTGATCTTTTTTATGTTATTCAGTGCCTGATCAAGACTTGTGCGCACTTACTTTCGGCTGTATTGCCCACTCATCGGCATTTTGGAGACACTTCTTTCTCCATTGGAGTTGCTATGTGCACTCATTGAGAACTTTCAGGGTCATTCTGACGCCAGATTGCGTCGACACCAAGAATAAGTCAAAATCGTGATCAGAATCAATCGATATAGGCGAACTTACGGCCAAAAAACTCTTTTTATGATACTTTCTTGAGTTGTGACAGAGCATCTTGGTCGGCAATGATTACCGCGAGTCTCATGGTCACACCTCCGGAGCGGTAATGGCGCAACAGTGACGTGGCGGGCGCCGGGCAGCCGTATCGCGGATTTGGTGCTCATGAGGACCATTCATGCTTGGCATGGGCATGGATGGCCGCCAGAACAAGTGAAAGACCATCCTGGACATTTGTCGATATCGGAGCGACTGCTCGCGCTCAACCACGATGTCGTTTTTCCTCACAAGAGAAGAGATACACTAGATTTCCTTCACTTTTTCAAATGCACCTAGGGGTATTAACCGTTTTGTTCTTTTTCTCTATGGGTTTTATCGTTATTGCTAGTTTTGCGTCTCCGCACACTGAATGAGGGTTTTAACCAGCAAAGTAGCACTTCAACAGAGTGACGCCCTTGAGTATAACCCAACACACAAACTCAGTGAAAAGTCACAAAAATTTTTTGCCGTAAGTTGGCCTATAGGGGTAGATCGGATGATCTGATCACGATTCTGACACTTATTCTTGGTGTCGGCGCAATCTGGCGTCAGAACAGCCCTGAAATTTCCCTCAAATGAGTATATAGCAACTCCAGTGCTAGAAAGAAGTGTCTCCAAATGGCGATGAGTGGCACTACAGCCGAAAGTAAGTGCCACAGTTTATCAGGACACTGAAATAGAATATAAAGATCAACTTTCAAGAAGTTCTTGCCTAATGGTATGTGAAAATCGTCGTTGAATAGCTCCGACTAATGTTGTATATATTAGAATGCGCCTATAAATGGTAGAATCCGAGTGAAATTCATAAACAGACATATATGGACGAGAACAGCGGAACATAAAAAATGCAAAAACTCGCAAGCCGAGGGAAATCGAACCATGACCCCCACCCTCACTGTTCCATTGAGCTCCACACTATCCAACTATGCCGTCCGATCTTGTAGCTGAACACCACTCCCGATCGCTGAAGAAACCATTCCAACGAGCCGCTCAGAGTCGCTCACTCTGCCGCGAGTAAGATCCCCTTTGCGACTATTTTTCCTTCTCGAGATCCTATAGCACGTTTATAAGGACCCCCCCTCAGCAACTGGTCAAAGTTGCAAGTGATATTAGAGCCCATTGAGGCTCACAAAACAGTCGGTTCCATGGACTTCTTTTTCACTCCCTTTTTTGTATTCCCAGAGCGTTCAGGAAACATGAAACATCAGTTGGGTCCGTCCCTAACGACCCCTGGTCAGAGCAGCGGAACTTTTCTTTTGTCTTTTTGCGTTTTTCGTTCGGTGTTATCTGTGTTGAATGACATACATCCAAACATCAGTGTCTGCGAAGTAAATTAGGCTTGAAATATAGCAAAGAAATAATCGCCTTGCTATGTTCAGAAGCTTAATCGCTTGCGTATGTCGCCATGCGTGTCTGCGACCATGCAGATAAAGGATCCATTCATGCAGATCATTTCACACGCGCTGCTCTCCAGTTTGTCGCCGAAATACGCCGATCTCTCTTCTCTGAACAGTATTATGAAGGCTCAGCTCTTTATTGCTCCTACTGTAGATTTTAGGCAAAAAGGACGCATTTTCCTTGTCTCATTTGTTGATGATGGTTCGAGAAGTGCTGAGCTGTGTCCATATATTGAATTCAGACTGAAATCGAGCTGCTGTTCTTAAAAGGG